TATCATAACCCTTTTGTACGCAATTAGGTTTAACTGCCTCTACAGAAGATACAGGGAAAGACCGATTATATACCGAAAAACTTTTGCATTCGCGCTTATCGGTTGAACTCTTATTGATTTGTACAGTTTCCAGACATTCTGACATGCGGACGCCCATGGAAACACCATCATTTTAGCGTTAAAACGTTTGTGAGGAAGTAAATCGGTTTGTCAATTGAATTTTCAAGGTTTACTGTTTATTTTTAATATCTTCCACTAAGGAACATGAACATCTAGCGTTTACTTCAGCAAAAGCAACCAACAGCAAAATATTCGGTTGCAGAGGTTTTGGCTGGTTATGGAGGCCAGTCAGCAGAGTATGGCAGGTGCACGCGCGAGATTTTTTTTAACAATATATAAGTAATAACAGTGTAATAAGGGCCTAAAAACGGCCTTGCACGCGCGACATCTCGTCGACTTTTTCCATACTCTGGAGGAAGCAAAATGATGGCAAGAAATCGAGGAATTGCTTAACATAGTGATAAAATAAGAATTCGCTAGCTTAGTATAATTCTGCATTACAAAGATATGTGTCATGACAGCGTAGTAGACTGCTGTTTATGAGCATATCAGTATAAGAATCACGGTATTCACTAAAATGAGCTATACAAAGTGTTAACGTGCGTGACTTAAACAGAAAAAGAAGAGGATGTAACAAGCAAGCCATGTATCGAGCAGAAACACTAAGTTCATATTGTGATTGCGCTTTCCTGACTTTTCATTTCTGCTCAAGATCAGATAACACAAAGTTTTAACAAAATGAGGAAAAAGTTAGTAATCCATGAACGGCAGGGCAAAAAACGCGTTTGTATATTAAAATGAGACTATTTTAACTTTATCAGAATTAAAGAATCGGGAAAAAAATAAGCCGACTATAACATCTGTGAATCTGCCTTGAAAATTTACCTTGCTATTACTAAGTAGTAAAGGTTAGTTCTCCTCACCATGATATTTTAAAGTTAATAGCTTTTTCATATGTACTTACAAACTTGATAGTTACCGACAAGACATTTGTACTTAGTTAATAATACGAAAAAGCAAAACCAAGTTCAATCACGACATTGGAGCAGAGTGAAGACAACTAAAATGCTTAGTATATATATATTTTAAGAGATCCTACTGAAGTTAGCTAAAATAAATCTCCGCTGCTAAGAATGATGTCCGGCTGAAGTTTACTGATTTCAACTGTACTGAATGAGATCAAAATTAAAGTGAAAAGTTTAAGTCTGTATAAAATTGAAATTATCTTTACCTTGCCCGTGCTTTGTTTACATGAATTTCAAGCATAGCTGTCGTTTTCCTCATGGGTGGACCGGTTAATGTGCCTGAAAACTCCAAAGATCAGTCCGTATAATCTGGATATAGACTATTTTCCCTGTGCTACATATTGTGCTTAACCTACTCACGCCAGAAGCACGTTTAATCTAATGCAACTTCAAAATGGACAGATACAAGTTCCACTGAATATGTTTTGTAGGTTTTGTGACGAAGCAGATCACCACACAAGTCGGTTCGGCTCACCGAGTTTACCAGTTGTAATAGTAAAATGCCCTGTTATTCCTTACCATGTTGGGAAATTTCTTGGCCTGATGAAGTACATCATTTTTTTCCTTCGCATCAAGAATCCAAGGATGACAACAGCTACAGCTTTCAACAAATCAATGGCGGAAGTAAACTGTGTTTCTCTGAACGACATCAGGACATTCTGTCATGCAACCCGCTTTCGTTTCTCACACAAAATATTAAAAGTGTTGTCCGTCGATTCTCTTTTGTTTCTTAGTGAACTCCATTTAACTTTACAACTACGTTTTAACTTCAAAGAATCCCGTTTGTAGTTTAGCTTGGTTGTTCTTGAAATCGTGTCTTCTCTCAATGTATTAATTTTAATTATGTATTTCTGTTACCAATCAGAGAACGCTTTTATCTTCTACGTCATTGTTTTTTGACAAGCAGGTCACGCTATACTTCCTGCTTCAGCCTGTTGTTTCGTCAGGCGTTCTGTCTGTAGTGCCATGAGTGGGTTGTCGCTGACTCAAGAATCTGTTTTTAATTGTCTACCATCAAATTGTTTATTATTTACGTATTCACTTTGTATAGAACACTCCGAAACAACAAATGTTGCACGATGAATTACCGGAGGAACGCAAAGCACGAAACGCGACAGGCCCTTGCGTACTTCCGTGTTACCTGACAAAGATCATATTGTTCTGTGGACGGAAAAGGTTACTCAAAGGACCCAAATTTCTCCTGTGATCATGAGGCTTTGTTTGCTGGCCAACACGAAAAGCGGGAATTGATGTTAGTGAATTTCGAGTCGAGTTAGTGACTCCATCTTGCAATAAAATTTACATTTTGTGTGGTATTGGATACCTCTCAGTCAATCAAAAGAAAGCATTTCTGGGGGCGTTATGGGGGTGGGGTAATAGGCTCCTGATGTAAGCCAATCAAAAGCGAAGTATCCAATTCTGAACGAAGCACTGCTGTTACTTAACACTGATAGTATCGTAAAGTAAGAAAACACCCAGGAAAAAGTGGTAATTTTCAGTTTGTCTTCGTTCACAACACAACACTAGTAGAGGTTTTGGAATTATGAGTACTCAGAGCAATCTCAGGGCTGCTGGAAGAGCGATTTCCACTCGGTAGATAGAAACATGTATCAGGCTTTTACGAGGTGTTCCATGGCCGGGGTATAAACGTACACACCATCAAGTTATTGTGCTTCATCAGAAAAGGCCTTTTCATTAAATATTTAAGGTACAAGTTATAAATAAGAACAAAGTTTTCACAATAAGACTATTTATGATATCACATATGCTAACTTACTTTGGCTCACGCATTTCTTGGCAAAACACCTTAAAAGCCGGTTACATTATTTCAATGTTATTAATCTTTTTTAGAAGTTTTGTCTCGATTACCAACAGAAAGATTACCGATTCTGTTACAGTAGACCCTAACCGTACTCACTATAGTTACTTTTAGCTTTTGAATGGCACATTACTGTAGGGTCGATATCGGGAGGTCGGAAATTAACGCTCACGTTAGCATAATCTTCTGATGCGGACTCCCGTGAAAACACCATACACTTGAAGTGAATAAACATTTTTCGTTATTCAGAAAACTAGGACAATACAAACAGCTAAATAATGCATTTTAGAATAGTATGAGATTAATTGAAATGCATCTCATAGGACACTACGAGATCAAATGAGATTATATTTTAACAGTAATCCGCTGATAGGAAAAAGTTTGTTATATTTTTTAATTCTTTTAAAAATTTTTGTATTTGGCTATTAGTCAGTAAAAGTTTGAAAAACTTCTTTGAAATCACTAGCAAGATATAGAAATTGTGTAAATCGGCACAATGTGCGTAACTTATGGTAGCTAAAATGTGACTGTCATTTCATATATTTCATTTAGGGTACGCATACGTAGCTACAGGTGGTAGAGTATAACGATTGAAAACATAAGCATGGCATAAGCGCAACGTAAATGACTGTTATCCATGCTAACAATACACAAAAAGACAGCCAATCAGACCATAAAAGAATGTTAAGCTTCAGAAATTCAACCAATCAGAAAAGGCTGATTGACCTTTTTTATCTCGCGCAATAAAGAGGGAAATTTGGAATTCACGAGAACAAGCCGATAAGTCACTTTAAGAATTGGTGTTTTAGCAGAAAACAGAGAGACAGGGAATCATAAGCCATAAATTTTGGCTTCATTTGTAGAATAATTAATTGTTACGCTGCTGGTTTTGCGAGTATGACTACCGAGAGAAGGCCGCTATGTACGTCTACTGGAACAACAGGCATGAGGGATCGGTGAGTGAATGCTTGCACCACCTGTGTTTATAGAAAGCGAAGAAGTTTGTAGTATTGATTTTTTACCTTTATAAGAAAAATACAAAAACAAGACTGAGATACTGAAGTGGCTTCGTTTAAAGTCTTAGCAGGCGTTAAGATAAGCCTCTAGGCCCATTTAATAAGGCTCCATGACTCGGCCGGTGAGAGAGGAGCACATATTTATTTTGCTATGATTTGTGAAGTCAAATGTTCTGTGCCAGTTAATTCTGCAAATGAAACTTGTTCTGCATTTTTGTTTTAACTATTACCAGTAAAAAAAGCTACTCATACCTTGTCTAATCATTGAACCGAAAACATCCCTCTGTCGGATGTACTTTCTCCACCGACATTTCAACCAAACTAGTTGTCTTACTTTGCCAGAATTAATGACGGGGTCCCCTGTTAGGCCCTTGAATTTAAATTACCCAAACAGATCTAAAAAATCCGTCGACACTGCTGAAAAGAGAACTTAACAGCTTTGAAGAAGGATTTGTTAGAAACAAGCAAATAGAAACCCACCGAACTGATATCAGTGACTGAATTCACAGTTGAAATATTGGTCATTGGTTTTCCAGCCGGGTGAATATTCCTATTTTTGTTTCGTTGGTTGGCTAGTTTTACCGTTTAGAGAAAGGAATAATTTTATATAAGTAAAAACATATCATTGTATTGTATTTACAGATTTTTAACGCACGAAATTATATTCTTTTCACAATTTCAGCCTCATGTTTATTCTTAAAATATTCTTAAAATTTCAGCCTCGATATCTTTATAAAATATATTCTTATAAAAAAGAAAGAGTGTATGTACAGTTTTTGTCCACATGTTAAATTTTGCAGTGGCTTCGCCGAACCATATCTTTGTTAGTTGTCAACATACCACTCTCAAAGTTAGCAATCCGTCTGTTTTCAAGGCCGGGCAATTCATGAAAAGACTTAACAGATAAAATCGATATCAAACATATTTAAGCAAAACATAAGAAGATAAACCTATTTGCAAATAGGCAGCTGGCTATGGACAACAATAATATCAGAAAGTATATTATACATTCTAATTTTCTTTTACTGACTCTCCACCATCTTTCCTATCAGTTCTGATTCAAGATATCCTCGTCTTCTAATGGAGCTGTCTGTGGAGGTTCACCGCATGCGGTATGACGCTTATGAGATGCGACCACATCGTCAGCTGGACCTGAGAGGAGTGAGACTGCAGATCAACGAGAGGACCAGACCCCCTGACTGTCAGGATGGAACTAGGTACTCTGTCGAGGAGACAAACCAATTTCATGGGCAGGACCAAGAAGATGATCGCATGGGTACATTTTCTCTCCCAAGGCAAATAACAGTAAGCAGGTTAGTACACTAACGGCGCAAACAGCCTCCGAACAATCTGATTCTGTTACCCCAAATAAACAGTGGTATATGGCAAGGAGCACTCTTACAAACTAGGTACCATGTAATCTAATAAACTGAACTACAGGGAGGGAAGCGTCGGTTCGTTTATGGACAGTCACGTCATGATTAACGGGCCCGGAAAGTTATTGTTATTCACATTTAAGAAAGAGACTGGTTTCCTTTGTTAGCCAGGAACCACGCTCTTGTTCTTTAGATTTTCATTTGAGTATATGAGTTTTAACCTCATCCCAGAGCTTTCACCTCCTCAAAGGGAAAGCCTTTGGACGATTGGGGATGAGGCTGTTTGAATTCGGGGCCCCAGGCCGCTCGAGGCTACTAAGCCACACTAACGCGACTGAAAAGAAGGCTATACGTTGTTCAGTGAAGACAATATGGTGGAGTTTTTTTACTGACTTATCATCCACCAAAAGGGAAATGGTCGGATTATGTTCAGACTGCTGGAAACATTTTGCTCTTCTCAAACTGAGTTGCTTCTATAGCTTCGATGATCCTCTCAATTACTCCTAGTTATCCTTCGAGTTGTATTATAGATGTTTTTTATATATTCATTATTTTATCTTCATCTTCCATGGGTTTACAACAAACCACTGAACCAAATCAGACCAGCCCCCTTGGTTTATTTGTAAGCTCAATTCAGGGTTAGACTGTGCGCGCTTCACTGGTCATGGTATTGCTGAAGTTCAAGGATTCGAGGTCTTCTTACAAGAGCTTACAAGCCTGAATTTTACGACTGCGTTGTAAAGGTTCCTTCTTACTGCTATGATGTTCTGTATTTAATTTTTATTGACTTTATCCTACAGTTCTATATGTTCATATATACATTGTTTGTTAATTACCGTTTCAAATCCTTTTTGAAAGATTAAAAAGACGTTCAGTCTAACCAATTTCAACAGTTTTCAAAAAATAACTGATATAATGATAAGGTGATTATTATTTCCATAGGTTATATCCCCAAGAGCCAGTGCCATTCATTGGTCAGAACTGTGGTGGAAAATATACTTGGAAGATAGAGCATTTCTCTCAGCACATCCAGGATGCTTTCAGTGGAATAATAACATCACACGGGAGTCCTCCAATTTACACAGGTCTACAAGAATACAAGTTCTTCATGCGTATCTTCCCAAAAGGCGTTAATGGTGGGGATCAACGGCACATTGGCCTTTTTGTCGGCATGATGCAGGGAGAATACGATACTATTCTGGAGTGGCCCTTCTGTGGACGAATCGATCTCACCATCAAGGATCAAACTGGTGATGTTAATGGCTTCCGCAACGATATCAGTGGTACTTTCATGGCAAAAAGAGATCTGAGAGCTTTTCAGAAACCCACTGCCGCTGGGCCATACAGCACCCTGTATGGCTACGCAGAGTTTGCACCCATAGCCCTGGTTTGCTCCCCACAGTACTTAAAAGATGATAATGTGATGATCAAGATCGAGATTCATAAAAACACCTAACATTTTCCTTGTAAGGAAGACAACGTCTAGGATGCAATAACTCCATGAAATGATTTTCACACTCTCCTTTTTAAATCAAAATACATCCAAAATAGAAAAACTGCAAGAGCAAGCTTCAATTATTCAGTTATTGCAGTAATTTCTATAAGGAAATGTTAGTGCATTGAAATATATAGCTCTTCACTTCGCGTTAGGTCTTAGATAAGTTTACTATTATCTTTTACAGTTTTTTTTCATTCTACCGTAATACCTCTTTAATAATGACAATTTAACACAAACCTACCAAGCGCTGAGGATGATTAGCAACAAAATTCTCTTTTTAATGTCAAAGCGTCAGAAAACGGTGTGGTAACGAAGGCGGAAACAAGTTGAATTCTTTAATTATAACACAGTTTGACAACTTCTTGTCCCCACTTCATCCATAGGACTGAAATGTACAGGGACAACAAATGAGATTATAAATTTTGATATTAGAGCTTAAAAGGGACCCTCGCTCGATGTTTGTTCAAAAGAGGTGTCTGTTTGATACATATGTTTTATAGAAAAAAAAATTGAGAAGAAAATTTCGTGACTCGCTGACGCTTTAGTTGGGTGCACTGGAGAATAAGACTTTTCTACATGAGTGGGGAGCGGTTATTATGGGTCACAACCATCGCTAGAGTTCAATGCTGCACATGCAAATACCTACAATAAATATATCTTTGCAGCATTATTGCTTTAAGAGCCTTGGTAATACTTGCCCGTACTTTACTGGGAGGAAAATCTTCGTTTTAGTCCTAGCCGAAAGATTTTACTGTATAGTCTATTTCTTTTAGATGTAACGCTAGAAGATCGCCTTTATCGTTATTTTTGCGTGGCAGCAATGATTATGATGTTAACATATGCATCAAAATGTGTAACATTTGTTTGCAATCATACTTATATCGCATCGATTTGAAACTGATACCGCTTAGTTACGGAAGGTGATAATTGTTTGTTCTCTTAGAAGCTAGGCCGGAGGTTTGTGTAGGATTGTAGGGTATCAGAGACAGAGGTGAAAGTTTCCAGTTATTTTCTCATTGGAGACTTATATTCCGTAATTTAGTCATAGAATATAGCTGCAAATTATGAATGGGGTGGCGAAAGGTTTTCTTAGATATAAAATGTTACGTCATTTTAATAACATCGGCACTGGTCAGTTTATGTTGCAATGAAGGAGGTGAAAGCGCGCTTTCGCCTCGAGGTAGCGGTGCTTGCCGTGGAGATATTCCCTATTGTCAAAAGGTTTGATCTCCTGGGTTTGATGGAGATGATTCTTTCGCCATCCCTATTTTATACATAGAGCGTTAAGGCTTTTGTAAAGTTAAAAAGTGAGTAAAAATTTCTCAACTATTGTGTAGTATCGGTTGTAGTGTCTAAAATCAATAAAGCAAACGTGAAACGTTACGCATTATTTCTTTTATTATTCGAACTGCACGTACATTTGATTTGATAATATAAGAAGCTTGTTTGATTTCAGTCTCTTAGATGGCCATCAATGACCATAGATCAACATGTAGATAGTCCCTGACTTCCATTCTTCTTTCATCCATTTTTTACAGAAAAGATTCGTTCCAATGATCCCGGCTCATCCCATCCCGTCCGGGCCCCACCTCACTCCACGCTCCGTTTCTCACAGTTTTTCCAAACAAGTTCTAAGGAAAAAAGAAACAGTTTATGGTAACTGAGTAAATACTACTTCATCTGTAATATAAAGGCCAGCAGTCCTATTCACCGGGTTTAAGACATGAGTTCCGCTAAAGCCCACTGTACCTCGAAATTAAAAGACAACTTTGACACTTCTGTAGACAAAAGCAAAAATTCATATAATCATGCATGAGACTAGGTTAATGGTCACCAGAACCAAGGCACGTATTCTGGAAAGCGTCCAGACGAGGAAACTGACAGGAAACAAGGGAAACGTGAGGCATAATGGGATGGAGATGAATAGTCTGGTGGCTCTCGGGGACGAGAATGTGGTTTCTTTCAGCTCAAATAAGGAGGGGTGGGGGGTTCACGTTGGATGGTGGGGTCTTCCCTCTTTCTTGCATCAAGGCTGAGGTGTTTCTATTGTTGTTCAACCGTCGGCTAGGACCATTTCGGGATGAAAAAATAGTAAAAAACAAAATCCTGTAAGATCTTTTATAACAGGCCAGGAGCCTATGAACAGGCCTGTTTGTCCAGATGTTTCCTTTTTTGCTGCATAAAGAAGAATAGTACATTTAATGTAATCTCTAGGCCTTTCCCTTGGCTGTGGGAGATCTGGGTACGAGATTACATTTAAGTATCATTTGCGGATATATTTCTCCTTGACGACTGATTTTGTTACATTTTTACTCAATTTTGGAATTTTCTGACGCAGCCAATCTTTACATACCCGACTATCCTACGAGTAGCTGTGCCCCTCCTCCACTCCCGCAGAGAAAATGGGGTCCTCCACTTCCACTGTCTCTCCGGGGGAGGGTACGGCTACAGGTGGGCTAGTGTGAGTGACAGGTAAGAAAGGATCCGTTGTATACATTGTGTTTTGTCTGAGAGAACCCCCTCCCCATCCTTCAGACTTGATCTGATATCATTCATTGTTAGTCTATTGTTTTCAATACCCAAGGTGCCAGAAGGTTTTCTTTCTTTCTTCTTTCTCCTCAAACATATGTCCCTACTGATGATCATTTTATTTGGAAGATTATAAGAGCCATTCAGGGCCCAAGGGGGTTCCCGGAGGTCAGATTCTAATCCTAACGTGAAGTCACCGTTCTGTGCGATGGTCTTTTGGCGTTTTCTCGTTGCTTTGTGGTTTGTTGTCGTCGCTTCATGGCTCAAGAATGTTTCAACAGAAATATGGAAGCAATGCCCTGGAGCTAAGGTGTGTTTTCTAGCTGATGTTAAGATCCTCGATGTCCTATAATAAAGTGGTAAAATGCTTTTTTCTTTTGGCTGACAAGTAAAAATTAGCAATCGAGGCTACTGAACCAGGCAATAAATAAGTCTTAATGGTAATAGGACTGAGTAAAGCACATCAACCTGTGAGTAAATAAACTAAAAAGAACCAAAATATTGAATTGTTTCTCAATAAATCATGTTTTCACAATACCTTTGCACTTTACAAATACTTGCTACCAATTTCATTGGATATATAACCATATAATACATCAAATTACTAGCTCCAATAGTCGTTTATAAAAGCAAACATTAAAGCACTTGCTTACATTAATAAACGATGAAACAAGAGTAAAAGACAAAAGATGCAAGAGTAGACATATTTAGGTAAATACAGATAAATTGATTGCACTGATGAGAAATGGGCAAAAGAGGTGAAAAGTTATAGTTAAGTTGCACTAATAATACACCTAACTTTGTACACTTTTTATACTTAATTAACAACATTTACCAGAAATACTCGAACAAAACATCATGTAAGAATTTTTGTATTAAATAACAAATGGAAAAAAAATTCAGTAAAAAAAGATTTAAAATTTACAGATATAAAAAATAATTTTCCCTAAAAAAATTAAAATAAATTTCTAGTCTAACAAATCTTACTTAATGATGATGGGTGCCAAGGCTCTGTGGAAAAATAGTAGGCAGCCTGTGAAATACAGGGAACCCAGCATTATGATCTTTATGCAAAAACAAAAGAGATTTCCAAGTAGCTTTTCTTACAGCAACACTATAGGGGCTTAGGGGAACTAAGGTAGCACAGCCTTGGTACCAA